GTGGTGAAAGTGCATCTCTACTAAAAATACAAAAATTAGCTGGACGTGGTGATGGGCGCCGGTAATCCCAGCTACTTGAGAGGCCGGGGCGGGAGAATTCCTTGAACCTGGGAGGCAGAGGTTGCAGTGAGCCGAGATCTCACCATTGCACTCAGAGGGGTGAGGCTGGGCACATGCTTAGGGCAGAGGGAACCGCTTACAGGACACCTCACAGGCAGCAGTGAACTTGGGAGACATCAGTGGGGCCTCACCTGCCCGGTGAGCATCTAGGGTCTCTCTGAGGGTGATAAGAGGGGCAGACCCCCAAAGGCTGCTCTGACTGCTCCCTCCTCCCGGGTATGCAGCCAGCAGAAAACTGAGCTTCCGGTCACAGAGAACGTGCAGACGATTCCCCCGCCATATGTGGTCCGCACCATCCTTGTCTACAGCCGTCCACCCTGCCAGCCCCAGTTCTCCTTGACGGAGCCCATGAAGGTGGGTGAGGCCTGGGAGAGGGAGGGGTGCCTGCAGCCATGAGGATGGTGGTTAGACACCAGGAGGGACTTCCCAACCACAGAGGCTGGGGTGCCTAGAGGCAAGTTCCCAGAGTCTGAGGCAGAAATAGGGGAGTTATAGACGTGGGGCATGGGGTGACCCAAGCCCCAGAGGCTGGTGTTCTTTACTTCCCCCACAGAAAATGTTCCAGTGCCCATATTTCTTCTTTGATGTTGTTTACATCCACAATGGCACCGAGGAGAAGGAGGAGGAGATGAGCTGGAAGGTGAGAGGCCGCAGCAAGTGTGAGTGGCAGGCGGGTGTGGACAGGATGTTTTGGAACACACGTGCGCTGGGTCTGGGGATCTCTACCTCCATTTGGTAGCCCTGGAGCCCTGGCCGGGGTGGGTCATGGCATTTGGTCATTAAACAGCTGTTTCCCAGTTGTCTGCTGTGGCAGCCATTGGGATGATGGTCCAAGCAACATCTTGAGTCCTGCCTCCCCCATCCCCAGTGTTCCTTGCTTTCCTTTCTTTTTTTTTTTTTTTTTTTTTTGTTTGAGACAGAGTCTCCGTCTGTCTGTCTCCCAGGCTGGAGTGCAGTGGCACGATCTCGGCCCACTGCAACCTCTGCCTCCCGGGTTCAAGCAATTCTTGTGCGTCAGCCTCCCGAGTAGCTGGGAATACAGCTACCTGCCATCACACCAGGTTAATTTTTGTATTTTTAGTAGAGACGGGGTTTCACCATGTTGGCCAGGCTGGTCTTGAACTCCTGACCTCAGGTGATCTGCCTGCTTCAGCCTCCCAAAGTGCTGGGATTGCAGGTGTGAGCCACCGCGACCGGCTCCCTCTTCCCTTTCTTCCTGCCTTTGACCTCGCTGTGCCCTCAGCCTGGAGCATCCATCCCTCTTGGACTACAAAGGCCCTGCTGGGCCTTCACATCCCAGACCTGAACTAGCTGTGGGACTTCGAGTGGACTACTTACTTCTCTGAGTCTCAGTTTACCCAACTATGAACAGGGAGTTGAGACCAGCTCCTCCTCATACTTTAATACCCAAATCAAAAGTCCCCCCTATCGCCAGGCGTGGTGGTGTACGCCTGTGGTCCCAGCTACTCGGGAGGCTGAGACAGGAGGCTCGCTTGAGCCTGAAAGGTGGAGATTGCAGTGAGCTATGATCAAGCCACTGCACTCCAGCCTGGGTGACAGGGCGGAGACCCTATGTCAAAAAATAAAAATCGGGCCAGGCAGCGGTGGCGCATACCTGTAATCCCAGCACTTTGGGAGGCCGAGGCAGGTGGATCACCTGAGTCACGAGTTCGGACCAGCCTGACCAATATGGAGAAACCGTGTCTCTACTAAAAATACAAAATTAACCGGGCATGGTGACGCACGCCTGTAATCCCATCTACTCAGGAGGCTGAGGCAGGAGAATCGTTTGAACCTGGGAGGTGAAGGTTGTGGTGAACTGAGATGGTGCCATTGCACACCAGCCTGGGAACAACAGCGAAACCCCGTCTCAACAACAAAAAAAAAGTAAAATAAAAAATCCCTCCTCTGAGAAGCCCTCCCTGTTTTTCAAGAAGGATCAAAGTGGGGGCCAGGAGAATGTGTCTGTATCTGACTGTGTCTCTCCACACTGGGGACTCTTTGGGGTCCATGACTAGGACCTCTTTGGATCCCTAACACTGGGTCCGTGGCAGGGAATGTTTGCTCTATGTATGAATGGTTTCTTCACCCTTTAGAACCCACCCCAGATGTCCCCTCTTCTGAGAAGCCCTCCAGGGATATGAAGGGCCTGTTGGGGTAACCTCTGCCTGAACAGCCCTTCACTGACCCCTGCCCCTCCCCAGGACATGTTTGCCTTCATGGGCAGCCTGGATACCAAGGGTACCAGCTACAAGTATGAGGTGGCGCTGGCTGGGCCAGCCCTGGAGTTGCACAACTGCATGGCGAAACTGTTGGCCCACCCCCTGCAACGGCCCTGCCAGAGCCACGCTTCCTACAGCCTGCTGGAGGAGGAGGATGAAGCCACTGAGGTTGAGGCCACTGTCTGAATCATCCCTGTACATCTGCATCTTCTTGTGCAAGGAAGTCCTTGCCCTAAAGCCTTGGTTCTCATACTGGGTTCCTTGGGACCTCCTGGGTCAGGGGGTTCCAGGAGGCACCTAGGGTACCTTGCGGGGTCCTAGGAGGGAAACCCAGGATTCCAGGAGGGATCCCAGGAACTGTGGGCACCCATCTTCTGTGTTTCCCAGCCCATTTCCACTCCTAGTTTGTCATGGATAATTTTTGTTCTTCCCTGTGTGATTTTTGCCATCAAAATAAAAATTTGAGACTCGTTAACCGAAGTCCATACCAATCACTTTGTGTTAATTGGGATCACCTTCATTGCAAGTGACAGAAAACTTAGCCACTGAGCAAAGGTGAGTGGCTGCTTTCTTGTGGATGAAAAAGCCCCTGGGACGCAGAGGTTGCAGCGAGTTGAGATCGCACCACTGTACTCCAGCCTGGTGACAGAGCGAGAGCTTTTCTCAAATAAAAATGAAAAGTTCAAAAATAAAAAAGATGAAAAAGCCAAGACAACAGCTTCAGGCTTGGCTGTATCCAGGTGCTAGGACAACATTGCCATTGGGGAGGGTACTACATGGTTGCCAGTCAATGTGCCCTGCTTACCCCCCAACAAACGGAAAGGTGTATGATGGCTCCAACCACTCCCCAGACCCCAACCCAGGTCAAGGCAGAGTTCTCTCAGCACCTGGATATGACTGGACTTCCCTGGGGGGTTACATGACCTTCAGTTAGGAGCTAGTCATGTGCCAGGGTTGTATGATGTTCTGATCAGCCAGGCCTGGATCATACGTCCCTAAGAGGGAGGTTTAATACCTCCATCAGCAGTAGTGAGGCCATGATAGGAGGGTTGCTTGAGGCCAGGAGTTCAAGACCACCCTGGACAACATAGCAACATTTCCTGTCTCTACAGGAAATGCAAAAATTAGCAGGCTTGGTAGCTCACGCCTGTGATTCCCAGCTACTTGGGAGGCTGAAGTGGGAGGATCACTTGAGCCTAGGAGGTCAAGGCTGCAGTGAGCCGTCATCGAACCACTGCACTCCAGCCTGGGCGACAGAGCAAGACCCTATCTGAAAAGTAAACACAAATAGCTTTATTGAGTGACTGCTTTTCCTCCCTATGAACATTTTTCGGGAACCTATTGTGTGTGTGTCAGACCCTTGTGCCCAAGCCCCTGTTCAATCCCCGCATCAACTTCGTTAGGATTCTCATATTTTGCAGATGGGACACCTAAGACTCAGAGGTCCAGCCCTCCAAAATACTGAAGTCCTAGTTGCGCTGGATTGAAAATGGACAACACAGAACAAGGGCTGGAAATTTTTTAAAAGATTGTTTTTAAAGACAGGGTCTTGGCCAGGCGTGGTGGCTCATGGCTGTAATCCCAGCACTTTGGGAGACCGAGGCGGGCAGATCACAAAGTCAGGAGTTCAAGACCAGCCTGACCAACATGGTGAAACCCTGTCTTTACTAAAAATACAAAAATTAGCCAGGCGTGATGGTGCATGCCTGTAATCACAGCTACTGGGGAGGCTGAGGCAGGAGAATCGCTTGAACCCGGGAGGAGGAGGTTGTAGTGAGCTGAGATCACACCACTGCACTCCAGCCTAGGCAACAAGAGCAAAACTCCGTCTCAAAAATAAATAAATAAATAAATAGATAAATAAATAAATAAATAATAAAGACAAGGTCTCCGCCTGTAATCCCAGCAGTTTGGGAGGCTGAGGCAGGCAGATCACCTGAGGTCAGGAGCTCGAGGCCAGCCCGGACAACATGGTGAAACCTCATTTCTACTGAAAATACAAAAATAAGCCGAGCGTGGTGGCGCATGCCTGTAATCTCAGCTACTCAGGAGGCCGAGGCAGGAGAATAACTTGAACCTGGGAGGCAAATGTTGCGGTGAGCCCAGATTGCGCCACTGCACTCCAGCCTGGGCAACTGAGTAAGATCTGTTTCAAAAACAACAACAACAACAACAACAAACAGACAGACATGGCCTCACTCTGTTGCCGAGGCTGGTCTCAAACTCCTGCACTCACAAAAAGAAACGAAAAATAATAACAAACTAGTAGCCTCAAGCGATCCTCCCGCCTCAGCCTCCCAAAGCACTATGATTAAAGGAGTAAGCCGAGCCCTTGGCCTGGGGGTTGGAAATTGAAGCCTCTATTTTATGTATGTGTGTATGTATGTATTCATTTACTTGTTTATTTTCTGAGACAGAGTTTTGCTCTGTTGCCCAGGCTGGAGTGCAGTGGTGTGATCATGGCTCACTGCATCCTCGAACTTCCGGGCTCAGGAGATTCTGCCAACTTAGCCTCCCAAGTAGCTGGGACCACAGGCGCAAGCCACCACGCCCGGCTAGTTTTTTGTATTTTTTGTAGGGACAGGATTTATCCAAGTTGCCCAGGATGATCTCGAACTCCAGAGCTCAAGCAACCCTCCTGCCTGGGCCTCCCGAAGTGCTGGGATTACAGGTGTGAGCCACCGTGCCTGGCCTAAGCCTCTCATAAGGCCGTGCGCCCTCCCAGAGGCCACCCTTGCAGAAGATTCCCTGAGACTTAAAGACCTGGGGCACCCCGGACTTTCCTAATCATAGCTCCACCCACTCGAGGCGGGTGCCTTTGCGTTTCCCGTTTTTAAATGAGATAGTGGCACACCCGGTGGCATCCTCCCGCCCGGGCTCTTATCGGCGGTCCCAGCCCTGCTTGAGCGCCTCCGGGTGTCACGGGCCTCTGCGAACACCAAAGCTCTCGAACCCCGATGTGGACCCCGGTGCGGCGCGGGGCGGCCTGGCTGGGAACCCTGCTCAGCCCCGGAGAGGGTCCCCACGAGCCGAGGGGCGGAGCGGCGCATGCCCACAAGCCAGCCGCGGGAAGTAGGAAATCGACCCCCCAGGCGGTGCGCTTCGGACCCCGCCAGGGCATGTGCTCCGAGGCCCTCCTGGCTCGCAGGTTGCGGGCGGCGCTGCGGGAGGAGGAGCCGTGGTGAGGGCGGGGCCGGGGGCGGGCCAGGAGTGGGGGTCTTTGACCCGAGTCCACTCTGACCCCGGTGTTTGCAGGGCGGTAGAGGAGCTGCTGCGCTGCGGCGCGGACCCTAATTTGGTGCTGGAGGATGGCGCAGCTGCTGTGCACTTGGCTGCCGGAGCCCGGCACCCGCGCGGCCTGCGTTGCCTCGGGGCCCTACTGCGCCAAGGCGGGGACCCCAACGCTCGGTAAGGTAGAGCCTGGGTCCGGGGCGGGGTCTCCCCAAGCCGAAGTCTGGGAATCCGGGAAGGGGCGCCCCACCATCCCGGGCCAGGGCCTCGGAGCCCGAGGGTGGGGTTTGGGGGAATCTTGGGGAGGGAACTTGGGGGTCCAAGGGCAGGGACTAGAGCTCGAGGGAGGCGCTGGGGCCCCAGACCGAGGGCGGGGAATGGGGCTGCGCTAGGACCAAGGGTTCGGATCTTGTGGTGGAGGCTCCAGGGTCAGACGGCAGAGGTTTGGGTCCTGGCCTGAGGTCATAGCATCTAGGTTCCAAGGGCAGTGTCCCAGGGTGGACAGTGGAGATCAGGGGGCCGAGAACGAAGGCTCCCGGTCCCCAGAGCGGAGATCGGGGTTCCTGCCGGGAGGCTGAGTCCGCAATGACCCCTCTTGCGCTGCCGCCCCAGATCTGTCGAGGCATTGACACCGCTGCATGTGGCCGCTGCCTGGGGCTGCCGCCGCGGCCTGGAGCTGCTGCTGAGCCAAGGAGCAAACCCGGCGCTGCGCGACCAGGTTGGGAGGCACTGCGCGGGCAAAGAAAGGCTGGGCGAGCCCAGAGGGAGGGAGGGAAGGAAGGAAGGTTAGAGGGCCTCGAGCGCCCCCTGCTGACCGCGCCCCTGTAGGACGGACTCCGGCCGCTGGACCTGGCCCTGCAGCAGGGGCACCTGGAGTGTGCGCGAGTCCTGCAGGATCTCGACACGCGGACCAGGACCCGGACCCGGATCGGGGCAGAGACCCAGGAGCCCGAGGCTGCACCTGGCAGTGAGTAGGGCCTGCAGGGCTGCTGGGGCTTGACTTCTGGACCAGTCCCTGGCATCCACTGTCTCCCCCACCCCGCCTATTGGTTCTGTCTTATGTCCACTCTCTGTGGCCAGCTTTTTCGGCCTCAGACATTCCTATCTCCTTTTTATGTCTGATCCTATTCCCATCGCTGTCTCATCCTTCCTCCTCTCCTCTCTGACCCCCACTCTCACCTGCAGCTCCAGGCCTCTCTGGATCTCCTGATGAGATGCTGGACTCCATAGCACTCCAAACGCAGCCATGCAGAGGTGACAACAGGGACACGGGCTTGGAGGCTGACCCAGGAACCCCCAGCCTCCCTGTTCCCCTTGAAATTGTGGACAAAGATAGGAGCTCAGCGTCCCCTCCAGGGCACTGGGATTACAGCTCAGATGCCTCTTTCATCACAGCAGTTGAGGTCTCTGGAGCCAAGGACCCAGCCTCGGATACTCCCCCCTGGGCTGGGTCATTGCCACTGACCAGGCAGGGACTTCTGCATGTTGTCCATGCCACACAGAGGGTACCTAGGTCTCAGGGGACGGAGGCAGAACTGAATGCCCGTCTGCAGGCCCTGACTCTGACCCCACCAAATGCTGCTGGCTTCCAGTCCTGCCCTTCCTCCATGCCTCTCCTAGACAGGAGTCCAGCTCACAGCCCCCCACAGACACCACCCCCTGGAGCTTCTGACTGCCACGGCCTGTGGGAGCACCAGACATCCATTGATAGTGACATGGCCACGCTCTGGCTGACAGAGGATGAGGCAAGCTCTACAGGTGGCAGAGACCCTGTCGGCTGTTGCCAGCACCCGCCAGTCTCCATTGTGTCTGACTTGGAGTTGCTGCAGGGGCTGCGAGCGCTTGGTGAGAATCCTGGCCCTGTCACACCCTTCACCCGGCGATTCTACCTCCAGCGGCTGAAAGAAGCCCAGATTGCCCCTGGTTAGTCTCCCCAGGGCACGTGGAATCCAGGGAGCCTCCAGGAATCTCTCGGAGAACCCCAGCTCTCAGCCCCACTTCCCTCCCCATCTCAGAATCATCTCTTCCTCCATCTCCCTTGACTTCCAGGCCCAGAGTTTTCAGGGCACAGCCTAGAACTGGCTGCAGCCCTGCGGACAGGCTGTATTCCAGATGTCCAGGCAGATGAAGACGCGCTGGCCCAGCAGTTTGAGCAGCCAGATCCTGCCAGGAGGTGGCGGGAGGGGGTCGTGAAGTCTAGCTTCACATATCTGCTGCTGGACCCCAGGTACTTAGGGCAGGAAAGCCCCAGAAATGGAAGCTAGAAAATTTGGGGATTGGTTTTTATTCACTGTGTACCCTTAAGAAAGGGACTGGCCCTCTCTAATTATCAGCATCTTCTTTTTCTTTTTCTTTTTTAAGACGGAGTTTCACTCTTGTTGCCAAGGCTAGAGTACAATGGTGCCGTCTCGGCTCACTGCAACCTCCACCTCCTGGGTTCAAATAATCCTCTTGTCTCAGCCTCTCAAGTAGCTGGGATTACAGGCACCCGCCACCACACCCGGCTAATATTTGTATTTTTGGTAGAGATGAGGTTTAAACATGTTGGCCAGGCTGGTCTTGAACTCCTGACCTCAGGTGATCCGCCCACCCTGGCCTCCTAAAATGCTGGGATTACAGGTGTGAGCCACCCCACCAGCCACTTTTTTTTCCTTTTTTTTTTTTTGAGGCCGAGTCTCACACTTTCACCCAGGCTGGAATGTAGTGGTGCAATCTTGGCTCACTGCAACCTCTGCCTCCTGGGTTCAAGCGATTCTTGTACCTTAGCCTCCCAAGTAGTTGGGATTACAGGCATGTGCCACCATCTCTAGCTAATTTTTTTTTGTAATTTTAGTAGATATGGGGTTTCACCATGTTGGCCAGGCTGTTCTCAAACTCCCAGCCTCAAGTGATCCTCCTGCCTTGGCCTCCCAAAGTGTTGGTATTACAGACATGAGCCCCAGCCGGCCATGGTGGCTCATGCCTGTAATACCAGCACTTTGGGAGGCTGAGGTGGGCGGATCACGTGAGGTCAGGAGTTAGAGATGAGTGTGATCAACATGGAGAAACCCCATTTCTACTAAAAATACAAGATCAGCCAGGCGTGTTGGCGCATGCCTGTAATCCCAGCTATTCGGGAGGCTGAGGCAGGAGAATTGCTTGAACCTGGGAGGTGGAGGTTGCAGTGAACTGAGATCGTGCCATTGGACTCCAGCCGGGAGAACAAGAGTGAAACTGTCTAAAAAAAAAAAAAGCAAGCTGCTGAATGTCTTTGGGGAGCCACTGCCTTTCTCTGATCCTGTAATCAGGAGTCACTAGACATGTGACTTTAAGGACTGCCTCTGGGGACCACTGTATCCACTTTTCCCTGTCTGAGCTACCCCCTTCATCCAGGGAGACTCAGGACCTGCCAGCCCGAGCCTTCTCACTGACCCCAGCTGAGCGCCTTCAGACTTTCGTCCGTGCCATCTTCTACGTGGGCAAAGGGACAAGGGCCCGGCCATATGTCCACCTCTGGGAAGCCCTTGGTCACCATGGGCGGTCAAGAAAACAGGTGTGAGGACGGGGATCAGGGTTCATCGAGGGCAGTCAGGCCACGGGCAGGGGAGGGGATTGGGAGTGCTGACTCCGGACTCTGCCCTAGCCCCCCCAGGCCTGCCCCAAGGTGCGTCAGATCTTGGACATCTGGGCCAGTGGTTGCGGCGTTGTGTCCCTACATTGCTTCCAGCATGTGGTCGCTGTGGAGGCTTATACACGGGAGGCGTGTATTGTGGAAGCCCTAGGTGGGTGCCTGGTACATAGAATGGGGGTCATATGAAAGGCATTTGGCTTTCTAGTTCCCTCATTTTTTTTCCTTCTGAAGGGTGTTCATTTGTTGACTGAGCAATTATTGAGCACCAACTTTGAACCTGAACATGCATGTATTTTGCTCCACTGGTTTATCCCCACTCAAGGGCAATACACATTGGGTTTGCTGTCACATACTTTTTTGTGTGTGTGTGAGACTCTGTCACCCCGGCTGGAGTGTGGTGGCATGATCCCAACTCACTGCAGCCTCTGCCTCCCAGGTTCAAGCGATTCTTGTGCCTCAGCCTCCCAAGTAGCTGGGATTACAGGCATATATCACCATATCATGCCAAGCTAAGTTCTGTATTTTTAGTAGAGATGGAGTTTCACCATGTTGGCCAGGCTGTTCTCAAACTCCTGGCCTCATGTGATCTACCCAAAGTGTTGGGATTACAGGTGTAAGCCACCGTACCCAGCCACCTGCTGTCACACACTTCTGCTGGATGGGGCAGTGTCCCCATGGCTGCCCCTGTGACCTCACATCCAATTTCTCCAGGGATCCAGACGCTCACCAACCAGAAACAAGGGCACTGCTATGGAGTGGTGGCAGGCTGGCCACCTGCTCGTCGCCGGCGCTTGGGGGTGCACCTGCTGCACCGCGCCCTCCTCGTCTTCCTGGCTGAAGGCGAGCGACAGCTTCGTCCCCAGGACATTCAGGCCCGGGGCTGAGTGCTGGGGAGTTGGCCATCCAGCCTGGGAAGAAATGTTTGAACGTTCCAGCTGCCCTGTGCTGACAGCAGCCCCCATCTCTGGTTTCAGAAGGTGTGTGTGTGTGTGTGTGTGTGTGTGTAGGGAACACCAGGGCAGATCTCCCCCAGTCTGAGAGAGGACTTTGTTACAGATGGTACTGCTGGAGGGGTAGTAAGTAGTGAGCTCCCCGTCATGGGAGGAGGACAAGTAGGGAAGCAGAAGGTGCTTAGGAACAGTCCGGTGCTTCTGTCAGAGGCGTTTGAACCTGGGCAACTCCACCTTGAATAGGAGCTGGGTAAAATGAGGCTGAAACCTACTGGGCTGCATTCCCAGACGGTTAAAGCATTCTAAGTCACAGGATGAGGTAGGAGGTCAGCACAAGATAATGGGTCATAAAGACCTTGCTGATAAAACAGGTTGCAGTAAAGAAGCCGGCCAAAACCCACCAATACCAAGATGGCGACAAGAGTGACCTCTGGTCGTCCTCATTGCTACACTCCCACCAGCGCCATGACAGTTTACAAATGCCATGCCTGGCCAGGCGCGGTGGCTTATGCCTGTAATCCTCGCACTTTGGGCGGCCAAGGCGGGCAGATCACCTGAGGTCAGGAGTTCAAGACCAGCCTGGCCAACATGGTGAAGCCCCGTCTCTACTAAAAATACAAAAATTAGCTGGGCATGGTGGCAAGTGCCTGTAATCCCAGCTACTAGGGGGGCTGAGGCAGGAGGATCACTTGAACCTGGGAGGCAGAGGTTGCAGTGAGCTGAGATTGTGCCACTTCACTCCAACCTGGGCAACAGAGCGAGAGTCCGTCTCAAAGAAGCAAACAAAAAAAACAAATGCCACGTCAACATCAAGATGTTACCCTTTAGACCCTATATGGTCTAAAAAGGGGAGGCATGAATAATCCACCCCTTGTTTAGCATATCATCAAGAAATAACCATAAAAATGGGCAACCAGCAGCCCTGCCCTGTCTATGGAGTAGCCATTCTTTTATTCCTTTCGTTTCTTAATAAATTTGCTTTCACTATACTCTATGAACTCGCCCTGGATTCTTTCTAGTGTGAGATTGGAGAACCCTCTCTTGGGGTCTGGATCAGGACCCCTTTCTGGTAACACTTTGGCAGTTTGTTCCTGTCAGAATGGATAGAGCCTGCTCTTACCTCCCAGACATGGGACACCCACATGGCGAGATGGACTGGCAAATCTTCAGCTGCACTCAGGGTATCTACCCAGTTTAAGAGCCAAGGTCACTGCTACCCAGCAGTGAGACCTCGGACCAGTATTTTATCTCTCTGAGCCTGGGTTTCCTCGGTTGTACAGTGGGGGCAGTAAAGAGGTCCTACTCCAGGGGATCATTGTAAGGATGAAATGTGGTCATGTCAGGGCTGGGTGTCACGCCTGTAATCTGAGCACTTTGGGAGGCTGAGGCGGGAGGATAGCATGAGCCCAGGAGTTTGAGACCAGCCTGGGCAACATAGCAAGACTCTATCTCTACAAAAAGTAAAAACATTAGGCGGATGTGGTGGGTGGGCCTGTGGTCCCAGCTGCTTGGGAGCCCGAGGTGGGAAGATTGCTTGAGCTTGGGATGTGGAGGCTGCGAGGAGCTACCATCACAGCACTGCACTCCAGCCTGGGCGATATCAAGATCCTGTCTTTTAAAAAAACTATAAAAATGTTAAAATAAGGTCATGTGAGCAAAGTGTGTGGCTCAGAGCCCAAAGTGTCTAGCAGTGCAGCCCAGGGGAAAACTTTCTGGAGGAAGGGGAGGTGTGGGGGCCCTCAAGAGGCTGCCTGTGTGATGAGGCGTGAGCAGGGCCAGGACCCTCTTCAGGATCACTGTGCAACCCCAGCCTCCCTTGTTGCTTCTGGGAACCTGTTTATTCCACTATAAAATGGGATTATTGGCCGGGCTCGGTGGCTCATGCCTGTAATCCCAGCACTTTGGGAGACTGAGGCGGGCAGATCACCTGAGGTCAGGAGTTCGAGGCCAGCCTGACCAACATGGAGAAACCCCGTCTTTACTAAAAATACAAAAATTAACCAAGTGTGGTGGCACATGCCTGTAATCCCAGCTACTTGGGAGGCCAAGGCAGGAGAATCGCTTGAACCCGGGAGGCGGTGGTTGTGGTGAGCTGAGATCGGGCCATTGCACTCCAGCCTGGGCAACAAGAGCAAAACTGTGTCTCAAAAAAAAAAGGGGGGGGATTATTATTAATAATAACCCTGCAGGGCGTGGTGGCTCATGCCTGTAATCCCAGCACTTTGGGAGGCTGAAGCAGGTAGATCACCTGAGGTCAGGAGTTCAAGACCAGCCTAATCAACATGGTGAAACCCTGTCTCTACTAAATACAAAACATGAGCCGGGTGTGGTGGTGAGCGCCTGTGATTCCAGTTACTTGGGAGGCTGAGGCAGGAGAATCACTTGAACCTGGGAGGCGAGGGTTGCAATAAACCGAGATCGCGCCACTGCACCACAGCCTGGTGAAAGAGACTCCTTGTCTCTACTAAAAATACAAAAATTAGCCGGGCGTGGTGGCGGGTGTCTGTAATCTCAGCTACTCAGGAGGCTGAGGCAAGAGAATCGCTTGATCCCAGGAGGCTGAGGCTGCAGTGAACCAAGATTGTGCCACTGCACTCCAGCTTGGGCAACACAGCAAGACTCTGTCTCAAAAAAAAAGTGTGAAACGGGGATGCCTCCCAGGTGCCAAATCTAATAATAAAGCCACAGGAGTTATGACACTGTGCCATCGCCCCAGAATACACAAACAGGACATTGGTAAAGAATCTAGAGCCCCCAGAAGAGATGGGATTTGTCTAACACAGGGTTTTCCAATCTTGGCCCTAATGACATTTGGGGTTGGCTTATTCTTTGCTGTGGGGTCTGTCCCGTGCATTGCAGGGTGATGAACAGCGTCCCTGGCCTCCATCCACTAGAAGCCAGCAACACCCATGCACCCCCAAACATGGCGATTAAAAATGTCACCAGAAGTTGCCAATGGACACAATTGCCCCCCTGGTCTAAACTAAAGATGGAGCTCCCAAACCAGTGGGGAAAGGATAGAACGGAAGGAAAGATTTCCTCCCTCCTCCTGTAATGCACAGGAACCACAGATAGGCCTAGATATATATGGATCAGAATAAAATGTAGGCGAGGTGCAGGGGCTCACGCCTGTAATCCCAGCACTTTGGGAGGCCCAGGCGGGTGGATCACGAGATCAGGAGTTCAAGACCAGCCTGGCCAAGATGGTGAAACCCCGTCTCTACTAAAAATACAAAAAGTAGCTGGGAGCAGTGGCAAGCGCTTGTAATCCCAGCTAGTCCGGTGGCTGAGGCAGGAGAATCGCTTGAAGGGGGTGGGGGGCGGAGGTTGCAGGGAGCTGACATGGCGCCACTGTACTCCTGCCTGCGCGACAGAGTAAGACTCCATCTCAAAAAACAAACAAACAAACAACAACAATAACAAAAAAACCAAAAAACCACACCAAAAAACTAAAACACAGATTTGGTGGTTTCAAAAGAAAAATCTTCTTGACAAAGGTGACCCTAAACCAAGCTGAAAGATATAACATGGGGATAGTAAAAGATCCTAACTTGCTGGGTGGGGTTGGATGAGTCGAATTCAGTGAACCAGTGGGCGGCAGGCATTCAAAACACAGCCTGGAATACAGTGGGCACTCAATTATGGCAACTCTAACTCCATGCAGCACCTACCCCGATCTTTACCTAAACCTCAGTTGGATCTCTTCCAGCCGGAGAAGGGCTCATCTCGTTTTTTTTGAGACGGAATCTCGCCTTGTTGCCCAGGCTGGAGTGCAGTGGCACAATATCAGCTCCTGCAACCTCCACCTCCTAAGTTCAAGCGATTCTCCGGCCTCAGGATCCCGGAGTAGCTGGGACTACAGGCGCATGCCACCATTCCTGGCTCGTCTTTGTATTTTTTATTTTTTGACGGAGTCTCGCTCTGTTGCCCAGGCTAGAGTGCAGTGGTGCAATCTCGGCTCACTGCAAGCTCTGCCTCTTGGGTTCACGCCATTCTCCTGCCTCAGCCTCCCGAGTAGCTGGGACTACAGGCGCCCGCCACCACGCCCGACTAATCTTCTGTATTTTTAGTAGAGACGGGGTTTCACCATGTTAGCCAGAATGGTCTCGAGCTCCTGACCTCGTGATCCCCCCGCCTCGGCCTCCTAAAGTGCTGGGGTTACAGGCGTCAGCCACCGCGCCACCACGTCCGGCCGGGCTCACCTCTTGTTAAGTTGCCTCCTGCCCTAGGGAATACTGTCCAAGGAGGCCCAGCCTTCTAAGGTGTGAGGGGAAATTCAGGAAGCTAACGTGGATCCCAGACATTGTCGAAGTCGATCCTGAGCTCGAGGCATCAGCCTGAGCCCAGTCTGCAGATGGGAAAACTGAGGCTCCGGGCGGTGAACACCCTGCCCTGTGGTCACCCAGCACAGGTCCGGAGACTCCGATTGTCACTTCTCTTTATTGAGTTACAGGTTGAGATGTGCAGGTTCTGTGGCGCTAGCCCCCCCATCCCTCCCACCTTGGACAAAAATAGCTCCCAGCGCCGAGGAATGGGGGTAGGGAGGGTCTCGGGCAACGGGATGGGGCCCCGAGGGTCCCCGTGGGGATCGTGGGTCCCAGGATCAAGCACGGCTGACACGGAAGACAGAGAGCGGGGTGGGGGGCCTGCCTCGACCGTGGCGTCGTGGGGAAAGTGAGGGAGAGCTTCTGTACAAGGTCATCTTCCGCGAGGGTCCCGGCTGCAGCCCCGAAACACCGATGGGCCCCGCGGGACCGAAGCAGAGAGCGGAGTGTCCGCTGGGCTCTCTCAGATGCCACGCCCCGCCCAGCCAGCCTGGGGGCGTCTCCCTGACCTGGCCCCGCCCACCGGAGCGAACGGCCTGCCCAGGTGGTCTGCGCTGCAGACCTGGCGCAGGCTCCGGCCTCCTCCTGCTGCGGCTGTGCTCACCAAGCGATGCCCCGCCGGCCCGGCGTTTACTTCTTGTCTTCTGGAGGCGCCGGCAGTGGCTCGGGCAGAGCCTTGGGCGAGGGCTCGGGCTCCCAGAGCAGGAATTCGTGGAGCAGCGTGTTGACTGTCTCGGGGCATTCCAGCATCACCATGTGGCTGCCCTCGTCGATGAGCTTCAGGAATGCCAGGAGCAGAATCTGCAGAAGACGCGGGGCTCAGGGTAGGCGGGGGCAGGAGGGTGGAGCGAGAGGCCAGGCTTCCCTGGGACTCCGCCATCCACACTTGGCCCGCAGCATCTAAAAGTCCCTCCTCCCATCTACCCTGCATCTCTCCACTTCCACTCAAGGGGGAGCTAGAGGATGGCCTGTCGCCCTGCTGGAGCCGAACTAGGCATCCAGCATTCATCCAGAATTCAGGCATTCATCCAGAATTCAGGCATCCAGCAT